GAAAATTATTGCATGAAAGCATTACAACATAAAAATGCGAAAAGAAAACATTGCAGTTCCAAACGCAAAACGCCAATAAACAAAAATTGGCGGACTTTGCGGAGTTATTGCCAATGAGCAATAATTTCTCATGTCTGGTACTGATGTTGTCTTTGACCATGAAGTGTTGTTTTTGCACTTAATTGAAAATGTTTATAATAATTTGAAAAAAAAAAAAAATTTCTTTAATGTATTTTGTTATGAATATGCAGATCTCATACCAGAGATTGTTATGCAAATAACAGTATAACTTGTCATTTTGCTTAGCGCTACAAACATTTTCTGCATATTTTGTTTCATGATAATTTATAATATCGTATATATTAACGATTTAAATTCAAGACTATTTAATTCGAAATTCTTTTTATGTTTAAGAATCACAGTTCAGTCGAAGAGTGAACCGCATTTTAGTTTTCCAGGTATTTGGTTTAGTAGTGGAACATGTTTCATGTCATGTGTAACCTGCTTTCGATAGCCTTTTCGCATAAATCTTTTAAAACTCAACTGCCAAATATATTCGAGGCCAACGTGTTGCCAATATTACGTCAAATATTCGGTTAATTGTTCAAAACGTTTATTTTATGTGGTCCAGTCTTTTTAACCGGTTTATTGCATACATAAAATCGTTATCACCCATTACCTGCTCACTCGCTGGAATTATCATTGTTGCTAGCTCTCGTCTTGTGCGGCTATTTCGGCATATCCGCATCGGTAAATACGGACTTGAAAAGCTTAAAGATGATGGCTGTGTTTTTCACTGACATCAATAAGTATTACGGCATAGGTGAAATGAGTGAGACGTGCCTTCAGGCTTATCATCCTTTGTTGCATACGTATATAACATATTGTACAACTGGCAATTCACTTATGTCGTATTTCTCATAAATTAAAACTGATTTAGGCTAAGCTTATTTCCATCAATACATTTGCAATGACTGAAGTGAGTGAAGATTTAATAGTTTTGTATCTCAGTTTATATAACTGAAAGTGAACTAAAAAAATTCAGATATTGGGATGCATTCAAGGTCGATTAAACAGACTTAAAAAATAATTAATTAAGAAAATTTTAATTTAAATAGTACGCACAGATATGCCTTATACGAGTACTATAGACACATCACATGTAATAAGGTTTTATATGTCATAGTATACAGATCTTTTGAACTTATTATTGTATTTATAGTATGCAATATACATTGAATATATTCTCATATTAATTAAATATTTGTAGTGTTTTTATTATTTGTTTATTTTTCTTTCTTAACTTATACTTTATAATTGATTTATTAATTGGGTTGGGCTTTACTTTCAGAAGTTTAATTAAATACCTGTAAGAAGCATTTCAAATATTTCTATTATACAAAACAATAATATATCAAATAATTATAATTGTATGACGAGAATTTTATTTTCAATAGAAAAAAGAGTAATAATATTGAAATTCCATCAAACAATAATATACAACGATTGAGTTAATCCATATAGCTGTGGTTTACGCGTTAGTTTTAGTTAGATCAAGTCAATCTATGTTACTGTGGTTTATGAGTTAGTTCTTGTTAATAATACAGTTAGTGTAAGGTTTGTTTATATATATATAAAATAAATTGTCAAATACACGGAATGAAAACAATATTAACGAAATATAAAAGTTCCATTTGAAATAAAATTTATGGAACTTCATTTTTTGTTTCAAAAAATAATATTACAGCACTGTAACAAAATACTGTATAATAATGGACGTGCATCTTGGCTTTGTTTGTTAAAATATGGGTTTACGGTCTGAATTTGGCCTGTCTAATTCTTGACATGTGCAATCCAAAAATTATTACGAATTACTACAATAGATGTTTCCAAAATACTACTGATGATGTATATTTGACGGTATATAAAAATGAAGTGGAAGTTGTAATGGTAGGAACCTCCCACGAATTGAGGGCAATGTATATAGTATATAATATATTTATCTACTTATAACTAATCCATTATGACCTGATTAAATGGTGAACAAAATAACGTGTAGTCAATTCAGTATGTTATTTATCAGCTATTCCCTTTGGTGTAAATTTTTGGCGACAGGACTTATCGTAGTAACTAGATATAAAATAAAATTAAGTTCTGTATGAGAACTTAAGAGTTAAAATTCTCTTAAAAGTATGAGAGTTATTATTCCAAAATGATTGATCGGACTTTGATTAATATTTAAATTAAAGGAAATACAATATAAGTGCAGATTAGTGCATATTGAAATGCTAATTTCTTTTGCTTTATATTAGATATTTATTTTATGTTAACTAAAAAATATATATCCAATTATATTTATTTAATTTATTTAATATTTCATTAAGCTTTGTGTTTTTGCTTTAATATTGGGTCGTCCTAAAGAATTCGAAGCTTTCAGGCAGGTAAAAATGTCGCGCCCTCATTCAGTAGGTAAATGATTATATGAGGTGATCAATGGTTAGGCTTGAGTTTGGGTGATCAACGACAAATAAATAGATAATAGGGTTAGGAATGGTGGACCCAGTTCATTAAGGCAAAAAGGCATTTTATATGTTACTCTTCTTTAATTCAGTTGGTTTTCATTACCGGTTGAAAAGAGACACTACGTAAAAATTTAATAAATCTAATTATTTATTTATTCTTCTTGTTCATTGTCTACATACAAGTATATGTATTAAATTTGTTTATAATATAGAATTTCAAAAAGAGCTATATGCAAACTATAAAATGACATATTAAATTTTTCAAATTCAATTCAATTTTAGAAATTCAGACTTATATGGTTTTGTTTTATCATTATTTATATAAGTATATTAGAAGTGGTCCAATCTGAATATACAAAGAATGATGAAACCTATATATGTAGACCATTTTATACTAGTCTTGGCAAAGTTATATATTTGTTGTTTCACCCGACGACTTTTGACTTGAATGAATAATAAATATATAGTCAGACTATAATCTGAGTTCTCTAAAATCTGTAAGATATATGGTTGGAAAATAAAAGTGCTAGGTATTTTTTTTCACTATGAAGCGTTTTCTAAAATCCGGTAAAAAAACATCAATAACATTACCTTGAAGGTAATATATGTATGTAGATTAAGAATAAGAAACAAATAATTTTGCTGAGAGTTAGGACTTAACTAGAATCGAATAAGAGTATAATGGAAACCATTGCTCTACTCGAAAGTATTATATATTAAGTTCTGGTAATAAACCAAAACATATTCTTCATTTTAATAAGTGATTTACCAGAAAAAAATCTACGAACGCGGTTTTGATTACACTGCCTTTCCTTTATCGCTTAGACGGTGACTGGGGTGTGGAGAACTTAATTATATAATAAGGTTGGTTGTCAAAACCAGGTGTACATTTCATCATAACACAAAACATTGAAAATTGAATGATTGACAAAAGTCAGAAGTTTCAGAATAGGCAGGGTCTAATTAATTAGAATATCATTCCTTTGTAAGTAAAAGGCTACTAATATTTTTACAATATATAAAGGTTTTTCTTTACAGAGCTTTTTTATTAATTTTATTGATTGTAAAATAATTAGTTAATTTTTAATATATATTATATTTGTTGATATTTATATACCTTTAGTGCTTCAGTCAAACACATTGTAATATAAATTAACTATCAATATAGAAACGTTAACAATTTTAATACACAAGAAGCTGGTTGCAGCTTTCAGCAGGTAGCACTGTCTAACAGTATTCTTGCCTTAACATAACCCTTCACTAACATAATTTATAACAGAGCAACGTGTTGCATTTCGTAATTGGCGTTATGTAGTAACTCTCTGTTAATACTTTACATAGCTCATTACTCTAAATATTGGAAACCTCTCTACCAAGTGCAAAATACTATAAGACAAATGTAAAATAATGGATTAAAATTAAAATTTTTTTTTTTATTAATAATCCAATCGATAATCAAAGGTCGTTTTAGTTTTGGCAACTTTTGAAAGAAAAAACAATATTAACAACTGAAAATTAACATTCATTAAATAATGAGTTTTTTAATGGATGAGCTCAAGCCGTTTATTTCCCTAATGTTTTGTTTTATTTTTTTTTTTTTGTTTTATAATACAAATTGTACTTTCATTAGCGATAGCCTGAAGTTTCTCTTTATTTGTACAGTCAGTTTCAGTAAATGACAAAAATTAATTTTTTCGGATACAAGCTTGTTACATCATTGAAAGAGAGATTAAAATTGATAAAAGTTGATATATGAGAGTTTTGCAAAAATTAATGACCTTGTCTGCATAGATTAACAATCCGATTATAATAACAACCAATGAAGAAGTCACTAGTAAATTTAATTAATTTTTAAATTTAACTCAAAATTTGCACAAAAATGTCAACAAAGCAAAAATATTTACAAATTATAAGGCAAAGCCGTTGAAAATTGAAATGTCATAGGTCCATAGAAGAGGTGCGAATACAATACTGAACACAAGCCCAAATACCAAGGCATTTGATAAGAGCAAAAGTCAATAAAGTTATAGTAAAAATCGTATAATTATTACCTAATTTGTAACAGATACAAAGATACAAAGGCACGGCGGCAACAAATGAGATACAAATAAGCACAAGAAATATTGTTGAAGAAAAACAGAAAGAAAAAATTAATAATAAACAAGAAATACCAGTCACAACTGCAATGTTGGCTGAGTAGTTCCCAAATATATAACCACATTTATTGGGATATATATTTCATAAAAAATATTGTTAATTTTATTTCATATGAATTTATATGAACTTTGTATGTGAAAACTGCAACTCAGTCGCTTGGACGGGGAAACAAAAACATGCGTTTCCAAAGCAAATTATAATTTTATGTATAAAAATATGCGGAAATTGTTTAATACTTTAAAAAAAACAAAGAAATTTACAATTTCTATAAGCAACTTATTTATAGGTGTGTACATGAAAGCTAATGGCTCAAAGACTTACCTAATGCTAAAGTTGTAAATGATATTAAAATTAAACCAAATATGGCGTGCGAACTGCTTTTCAGTTGCATGTTGAACTAATTTTTAATTTATTCCAATTGTAATTATTATTTCAACGTTATTCCAATAATATCCAATCGATCTCTTAGTTCGATCGACCGGTTCAATTACAACTAATTAACTTAATTTTTCTTGTTGCCAAGAAAAAAAACCACTACTTTCTGGAACTCACACGACCGTCACTGCGCAAGCGCCAACCGACAACTGACAGAGTCTGCGCTTGAAGAAATTACAAGAAGGTGAAAATTGTTACGCGGCGACAGCCACTTAAAGTTGAGTGAAGCGAGTGAGTCGTTTTTGAGTTGAATTCACTTTCAGTTGAGTTTTTATCTAAGCCATAAATTATTATTGCCCTATCTCAAGTGTTGTCTTAAAACAGCTGTGTTTACACTCCTATTAGCCGGTTTGAGTAAAGTTAAACACGCACTGGCATTGTTTTGTTCGATGTGTGAACTAAGCTTTGAGCTTGTATCGCGCACTGGCTTTTTCATTTTAAGCTCAAAGCTCTGCTTTCATATCCAATAACAGACACGTTTATGTTAATTTTATATTTTGTCTTAATGTAGACTGACTTTGATCTCTGCTTTGTGTGCGCTTAACATTCAATGCTTGTATATGTCTAAACTTTAAAATGTTTTCTGTTTCTCATAATTATAATTATCGATATGCATATTAACATACTCGCCTACATACTCGTTTACATTCTGTAAGCACAACACGTAATTATTCTTATGCATATGGAAAGAAATACACTATGTTGTTGTTGTTGTTGTTGTTGTTGTTGTTGAGTGCAATGACTTCTTATGTTAACATAAGCCACAAAAGCCATAAAAGAACACAATCTCAAAAATATTTATGGAATTAAAATGAAATTAACCAATTTAAACAATTATTTCAATTTAATTATAAAACAAATTAATGTCTTATGATATAAAATTCAATTAAATGTGTGTATGTGTATACTATATAAAAATAAAACAATAGTATATAAAATAATAATATATAAAAATATATAATTATTTGTAAACAAATAAAATAAATAATAAAAATAAAAGAAATAAATAAACATATACATGTTTACATGTTTATATTTTTATATAAATAAATTAACAAATACTTAAATAAATGATAACACAATTAATAAGTTTGTAATTAGTTGAGTAAATAAATCAATAAATAAGCAACTTTAAGATTAAATAAAAAATAATTAAATAATAAATAAATGAATACACAAATAAATAAATTAATAAATTTATTAATATATAAATAAAGAAATAAATATATGAATTATAATAAATAAAATTATTATAAATAATTATACAAATAAATAAACAAATAAAAACAAATAAGTAAATGATTATATAATTAAAAATTTTTTATAAATATATTCATAAATAAATCAATAAACAAATAAGCAAAAAGATTAAATTAAAAACAAATGAATAAAAATTATATGAATATACATATACATAAATTAATAAATTTATTAATAGAAAAGTTTTAAAAAGTAGTGAACTGCAACAATAAAAATTCTTTTATAAAAATATGTATTTCATATATATATTTTTTCTATAATTATCTATATTTTATTTAAATGAATTTTTGGCTAAATATTGCTAAATATTTATCATCAATGGTCTTGGAATTATTTCTTATAGTATTCAATGAACACTTGCAAATAAACACTGACTCTGAGCTTGAAATTTGGCAGGGCATGAGTTCAACTATTGATATTTGCAGTTTCAGAAGATTATTTACAAATAATTATATACAAAAAAAAAATTCCAAGACGACTGAAGATGGGTATTTGGCAATACTCGTAAGTGCTGTATGGTCAGCAAAAAATTCTATTAATTAAAATATATATAAAAATGATTTTTATTGTTGTAGTTCATTACTTTTCGAAACTTCTTTATTAAATACCACAGTATCTATTAAAGTAAAAATAGTCACTATTGTCATATTAATGTTAAAATAAAATTAAATGTATTTTTTTAATATATAAATAAAGGAATAAATACTTGAATAAACATATAACAGACAACTATATAAATAAACAAAAATTAATAAATAAATTTATTAAACGTATTCATAAATAAATAATAAATTCAAAAATACAAAATAAATAAATAATAATAATAAATAAATAAACACACAAATAAATGAATAAATAAACAAATGAATTAATAAATAAACATATTACTTATTAAATAAATAAAAAAAATTTAAGAATAATTGAAATGGTAAATAAATGAATAATAATAAATAAGTAACTGACTATAAAAAGAAGTGAATCAATAAGTAAATAAATAATGTAAATAAAAAAATAATTAAATGCATATATAATTAATTAATTAAATGATTAAATAAATAATAAATATAAATGTATTGAAATAAATAAATACATAGAAAAATGAATAAATAAATAAATAAAAAGATCAGTCATTAAACAAATTAAAAAATAAATAACTAAATAAATATTATACAAAACTTAAAATATTGTTAACACGAAAGTAATTAAACTAATTAAATGAAATTTATTTATTAACTATTTATTTATTAACTTTCTATTAATTATTTATTAAGTAACTGAAATAAATAAATATTTTTGTTAAAAATTTATATAAAAATTTAAATTGTTTAAAAATATTTTAAGAATTATACATCAAATCGATATATTTAGGGAAATCACATTTTTAAAGATCAATTGATCAGTATATGTATATATTATCGACATTCTTTCTGGATATATGTGTATGACATTCATTCTAAAAAATATGTCAAATATTTTAAGAAGTTCTATATCACGACTCAGTTTTTATTTTCATTCTAAAGCAAAAGTTCAAGTCGCTTAAAATTCATTGCCAGAAACAAGTCTTCTAAACGCATATTTTTAATAAAATTTTTAAAATAAATTTAACAAAAAAAAAAACAAAAATCAATAAAAGATTTAACAAAAAATGTATTTTTCATGAGGTGCCAGTAGAAAGAAAAATAAAATAATAAAATTGTTAGCATTTAGAATAAAAATTCTGTTGCTTCAAGTCATAAAGCACGCTGAGGTGACTGTGAATTCGTGCATATGTCGTGCATTTCTGGCTGCGGATCTCTGCGCCTTGAGCTGAATTCCGCTTCACGTATAATTTTCCACATATGTTGCTTCCAAATATCAAACAGAGTAATTTATTCATATATTCCCTTTATTATTCTTTAAACAATTAGTAAGTCACCGTTATGGTTTTCATTGGAAATATGGCACTGCTCACTGCTTCATGCCGATTTATTTTTATGATTTTAATATTGACTTGAATTTTGAAAAAGATATTTTTACATTTTTAGCAACTGTTAAATAAAAAAATAATAATAAAATATATAACGTCGTTCGGATGACAATTCAATTTAAAGTGTTGAACAACAGTTCTATTCATGCAGTAATGTATACGAAATAATTAATAACATCATGTACTAAAGTAGTTAAATTATATGTTTATTGCAAATAATTAATCCGTTAATGAAGTTTCAATTTTCCATAATATTTTTGCAATGAGTAATTTATTATATTGTTATCGTATTACCAGTGAATACATTAGTATATGCAAACAACATCCCGTAGTGCACTAAACAACGTCGTTGTTGTTACAAATTTACTTTGCTTTCCTGAATATCATACAACATGACTAATGCAGCATTTACTTTATTATAATTGCTTCTTCTGATCATACTTCTCAACTTAACTTAAATGTATATTTCACTCGGAGCAATTATATTGCAATCCACTCAATAACAGCGGTAATGACAATGTTAACAACAGAATTACACTGCTTCTGGGATTAATATTATAGATGTTTCTGCTAATATGTGGTATTATAAAACAGTGCTAATATGTGGTATTATTATTATTTTTTTTTCATAAATGGCGTTATTTGTGTCATTTGTATTTTATATACTTATTATCTCACTACAAATGTTAGAAAAGTAGTGACATTAACTATCCCTCATCATTACAGTTCTTGAGAACAACATAGAGTAGAATGAAAGTTTCTCCAAATTGGTCCCTTAAGTATTTATATCGAATCTTTTTATTACAGAATTAGAAATAACGAGAAACTCAGACTTGTGTCAAAAAATTTTTATGTTTAGTTGGAAAATCGAAAAACTGTAGTAGTTTCCTACTAGTATTGCTTGATAAGTGACTTTTAAAGATGATTTGAAGGGTAGCATTTTTTGCTTAATACTTTATTTAGTTTTTATCCAAGCCTCTATTAACTATTAAACAATTACAATTTTGCATATATTATCTGAAAGCCTCTGTGAAGGTTGACATATTTTGTCATACCTGTTAGCATCTTTCAGAGGATCGATTGAAGATTTTGAGGCTTTTCAACATTTGACGGTATTACAGGTCATTGCATTTGAGTGCCATAACTCAATATAAAGTTTATTAACAAGTCATATGGTAGAATGTATTAAAAATGGTTATACATGGACTGTGTCCAGAAAGATACAATTAAGTAATTACATAGAAGCATCTGATTATAAATACACTAAAAAAAGAACCATGTACCATGGAACATTAGGACGAATGACATCTTCAGGGATCTCAAGATTGATCCGATCAAAAAACACATTAAGGATAGAGCCCTGAAATTTTTTACGAAAACTGACAGATTTACTCGAATCTCAAAATGGTTGCAGGCTCCTCGGGAAGGTATGTTGATCTGAGGTCAATTATTGCTTAGTCTGATGAAGTGATGAACAAAAATCCAGTCAAGACACAGAGAGATGCTATAATTTTGTTATATATTATATATTTTTGACAAAAAATAGATATATCAGTTACTTTGTGAACTCCTAAATCATTGTGTATATTCTATATACATTTTAAGGATACTACGGGGCAACTGTTATTTCACTTCGTAGTTTATTTTGTGCTTTCCGAATATTAGAGAAGCAAGTTGAGCTCCATAGTTCGCTGCCAAATCACAAGTTGAGTTTTATAATTGAATTTTGTTTTTTAAGATTAGTTTCGAATTTCAAGTGTAGTTGCTGTGATATAAGTTTATTTGAGCTTTTTCACTCTCAATATGAAAGTCTATGTCAAGGCCTTCTTTGAAGAAGAGTGCTAAGATATTTAATTATGGTTTAATGAAATTATTCAACATAACAGGAGGGTACTTTTCCTTTTGAGGTTAGAGGTGACTTGTAC